GAAAACATTTGGAATTGCCATCGTTTTCTCATTTTTGATGCCAGTGTCTTCTCACAGGATTCACAAGAGAAGAAAAGTCTCACTTGTTCTGGAAATGCCAGAAAACATTCCAAAACTTGCTTAGCGTTCCTCCTAGCAACAGATCTGATGACTTCCTCACATTTCTTCCGGGTAGCACTGCTCTCATGGTGTTTATCACTTTATGCCACTTAGTAGCCTTACAATCATGGGCCATTACATCCATTTCTATGCCTCGGTTTTCCCTTATGTTGAATAGGGATGATAAAACTACTCGCCTTAGAGTAATTATGAGGAGCAGATATTTACCAATCTATAACAAAAGTACTTGGCAATGACTAAGCCCTCAATATGTATTAGCTATGTAGTCATTTTATCTGCATTGTCAATGGCTAAACCTATGAGTGGGTAGATTGACGTGGACAGAGAATCATGAAATTTGGGTTTGAGTCATGGTGGTGCCACTTATTAGCTGTGATGAATCATTGAGAAGACATCTACCCTTACTTAATTTTTTTTTTTTTTAGTCTGTAAAATAGCTAGAAAAACCTGAATCATTCATCATGAAAGGAGATTACCTCTGTGGAAAGTAAATTGAACATTGGGGAGCATTATTGTTTCTCATCTCTGTCCTTGATTGGAAGGTGATGAATTTTAGTCATCTTTGCATTTTGATGGCTCTGAGATTAACCCCTTGGCCCTAGTGGGCCTTCAGCAATGCTTGTTGAATGAACCGTTTAACAATTCAACACATCTGACAAAAAGGAAGCAAGCCAAGAAGGCCTCTGTGTGTTTACCATGATGTTGTTGTTGTTAGCTATTGTGGAGTTGGCTCAGGGGTAGAATGCCAATAAGTAAGGAAAGCACAGGCTTACTTGTGCTTACTCACTCATCTGTAGTGAACAGTTTCACATATTTTTCACAACAATTTCAACCCATTTGTGAAATTGTTCACTACAGATGAGTAAGCACAAGTAAGCCTGTGCTTACCTTGCTTACTGGGTACTCCGTCCCTATCAGGGATTGGAATTTGAAAAGAGGCTTTAATTGTGCAGACGGGTGCTGTGGAGTTGGGAGAGAGACAGATGCCAGCCACACCTAGAAGTTGATGTGGTAAAAAAAACAATGGGAAATTTCACTAAAGATCAGTAAGTAAGCATAAGTAAGCCTGTGCTTACCTTACTCTTTGGGTAATCCCACATCGAGTCAGCCTCTGACTCATGACAAGCCCATGCACCAGAGCAAATAGTGTCCAGTTCAGTGTGCTATCAGTCCTTTGCGACCAATGAAGGTTTTCATTGGCTGAGTTTTTGGAACTAGATGGCCAGGCTTTTCTTCCTCGTCTGCCTCAACTCAGTCTGGACGCTTCCACAAAAACATGTTTAGCATCATAGAAACATGCAAGCTCCATTGACACACAGGTGCTAGCTGTGCTTTAGGTGCATTGACTGGGAATTGAACCCAGGTCCCCTTCATGGAAGGCAAGAATTCTACCGCTGAACCACCAATGCATCCGTGGTCAACAAAGATGGTGTGAAATCCACTCATAACTGCATATGACCAGTTCTTTACAGATGAGCCCATCAGGATCTCCCTCAGAAGCTTTCCAGTGTTAACTTCTATCAGATTGGCTCAGGGTAGACTGGAAGCACAGTTAGAACAGTGAGGATGGGTTGTGCTGCTCTGGGCAGACACTGAGACTGAGAAGAGATGATTTAAAAGCCTGGCAGTTAATTGTGGAGTCGGGAAAACTAATAAAACAGACATGAGAACTTAAAAAACCCTTCAGGATGGGGCTTTTACTGTAAGGAAAGATCCTATGGGGTTTACTGAAAGCTAAATGAGAGAAAGCAGTTGACATCTTCTTTGGAGAACAATTTCACTTTGGCAGGGCTAGAACAGATGACCTAAGATGGCAGAATCTGCTAATTTTCATGATTGCCTCAGGGAAGTAAATTGGCTCTGTTTTTGCAATATGTTTCTCAAGCATAACTTCTTGGTCTGCTGCACAGGTAATTAACTACAAAGTTCATGCTGCCAATTATCTCCACTATGACCTAATTTTCTCTAATGATGCCGAAACCAGAATCTACTGGGTTTTGCAATCTCTACCCAGTAAATGTTAAAACCTTTATCTGGCAAACAAATTGCTCGATCATGTTAGTTTATGTAACTATTTATATCATCAAGATTTGAAATCATGTGGAGAATTGGTGATTATTATTTAGTAATGACCTCAGCACTAAAATGAATTCATTTTTCCTTATCAGCATTTTGGTTTCCACTCTGTTTTCCTTTTTACTCTGAAGTAGTGTCCAGTTCGGTGTTGCTATCCGTAGCTTGAATGTCAGTTTAAATGGCACACTCATCTAGTTTGTGGATGACATGACCGAGGAAGGCATAACAAGGACAGAATAGGGAAGCCAAAAATTTTTGGCAGGTTGTTATAATTGGCCTCAATCTAAAAAGGTGAAATATATTAATGGGATAAAAAGAAAACCTTCCCTTGATTCTGGGAAAAAAAAAGAAAAGATGAGGGAAATATAATATTAATTATCAGGGTGGTATACAGCTGTAAGAACAGACTGGGAAATGAGGTGTTATAATCTTAGTTCCTTGGTGGTGCAAATGTTTTACCAAACATGGCTGCTAACCGAAAGTTTGGAGGTTCAAGTCCACCCAGAGGCACCTCAGGAGGAAGGTCTGGTCACCTACTTCCATAACTCAACCATGAAAACCCCGTGGAGCACTGTTCTAATCTGATATACATGGGCCACCACGAGTTGGAATCGATTTAACAGCAACTAGTTTACCGGTTAATCTCAGTCTGTTAGGCACCTTGGAACTCAATCAGGGTACCAAAGGAAGAGAAATTTACTGCCCAGTTTCCCTGTTGGGACTGGAAAGTGGGAAAGCTGTCAGGGTTCTTGAGGCAACCATAGGAACTGACTCCTCTCACAGTTCCATTCCGGGCCTTTCTACTAATCTTTGCATATTCAGTAGGTTCTTCTCTGACTCCCAGTTATCTAATTCAAATCTCAGAGAGAGCTGGTTTGATGACTTTGCTTTCCACCATCTTTTCCTGGGAAGGAAGATTGGGCAATCTACTTCCATAGAGATATCGCCTCGGAAACCCAAGCAGGGGTTGCTATGAGTTGGAAACGACTTGACAGTAGTGAGTTTGGTTTAGTTTTGGTTTTCTCTTCAGCAGGCACCTTTGCACAAAGCTATCTCATGAGTCATCCACTAACCTCTGTAGGACACCCTTGAGTTAGTGCTTACCACCAGGCCAAGCAGTGACTGTCTCTCTTAAAATAGTAGTTTATCCCTGTTTTTCTGAACAGGGTGATGTGACTGGGGAAGTTTAAGCTAGTGAGCATGGGCATGGCTACAATGGCCAGGGAGGATCAGAACCAATGAGTGAAAACTACAGGAAGAAAAATTCATTTCCATATCCACCAAAACCAAAAAAACCAAAACCATTGCCTTCAAATCGATTCTGACTCATAGTGACCCCTGTAGGAAAGAGTAGAACTGCCCCATAGGGTTTTGAGACAGTAAATTCTTGTGGAAATAGATTGCCACATCTTTCTACTGTGTAGCCAAGTTGTCTGGTGGGCTCAAATTGCTGATCTTTCAGTTAGCAGCCTAGCTTTTTAACCACTGTGCCACCAAGGGTCCTTCTCCATATTAAACACCTTAAAAATGGAGTGGGCCATAGGCAGATGGATGGTTGGGTTTAATGACCTTCCAGGCCCCTTCCAACTCTCAAAACTGTGTTTTTATTTTTTAAATATCATTCTTTTATTTCTTCTCAGAAGTGTTTAATGAAAAGCATCTTTTCACATTATTTTTAAAATGAGCCATGGCAATCATTCTGTCACAGTTATAATTAGGATATGCCTAAGGTGTCAGAAACAGTAAGGCTTTTATATTAGCCTCTTTTAAATAAAAAATATTTTGTATGAGAAATATTTGTAAATTAGATTTTATTATAGTCAATAACAGTGCTATTCAGAGGAGGGAAATGATTTACATAATGTAAATGTAATGGAGCAGCAAACTGTAACAAGGATAGTTCCCTAAGGTGATTGGATGTGTGGTTAAAAAACTTCCCAAGTAAATTGTAAATGGCATTCCAGAGAGTTCACTTGGACTTTTAATCTTAGACGTCAATGATAGTGAGTGTGTGGCTTACTTTTCAAATTACTGATTTGGCATTGTTTGTGTTGTGTGAGGAGAAAATAAAAATCATTCCATAAAATGTTTAATGCTCCCCTCAAACAACTGAAGTTAGTTATTTACTCTGAGAACTTCTAAGGCACTAGGGAAACTCTAGGATACTTCCATTTTCCAGCGGAAGAATGCATTGTGACAAAAACGATGTAGCCAATAGCGAGCAAGTAGTTTTACCTCAGCCTGCTTGGTAGTTGCATTCCCTAGAGGCAGTGAATGGTCAGGAGAGAGAGAGGAGCTGTAACAATTCTAGATCCGTCATTTTTTGGGAAAGAAAAATCTCTCTTGGCCTCAGTTCCTTCATTTATAAATTGGGTATGATAATAGTACCTGGAGGAGCTCTGGTAGCGTAGTGCCTAAGGCACTTGACTGCTAACCAGAAGGCTGGCGGTTCAAACCCACCAGCCACTCCTCGGAAGGAAGATGGGGCAATCTACTTCCGTAGTGATACTGCCTCGGAAACCCAAGGAGGGGTCGCTATGAATTGGGTCTGACTCGACGGCACACAACAACAACAACAACAATAGTACCTGGGTAAGCATTTCTTAACACAGTGTTGAGCTCATACAAAGTGCTCAGTAATTTAGCTATTAGGATTATGATTATCTTTATTATTCCTTAAAGAGTGCAGAGCCTGAGGTGATGCTCTCCTCTGCCCAGGGAGCCCTAGTCAACTGTGTGACTTCATGTTTCCCATCATTTCCTACCCAGCCTGAACTAGACTTGCTCCTGACTCCAGCTTATGATCTGGCTTTATCTTCCTCAAGGAGCTTGGGTGACATAGTGGGTAAGACATTCATCTGCTAACCGGAAGATTGGTGGTTCAAACCCAACTTCTCCACAGGATGTGGCAATCTACTTCTATTAAGATTTACAGCCTTGGAAACCCAATGGGGGTCCCAATGAGTCAAGTCAACTCAGAAATGACTCTGTCCTGCTACTGCTATTAAACCAAAAACCAAACTCACTGCTGTCAAGTCGGTTCTGACTCATAGCGACCCCTTCTTGGGTTTCTGAGGCAGTATCACTAAAGAAGTAGATTGCCCAATTTTCCTTCCGAGGAGTGGCTGGTGGGTTTGAACCTCCAGCCTTCCTTCTGGTTAGCAGTCAAATGCTTTAGGCACTACTCTGCCAGAGCTCCTCTACTGCCATTTACTGGCTTTGAAATTTCGTAAAGTCATTGCACCTCTCAGAATCTTAGCTCCTTCATTCCAAAACTTCAGGACTATTGAATTGTACAGGTTTTAAAAATTTTTTGAATGCTATAAATTTTAATTGTATTCATTTTAAAACAAACTTGAGTTATCAGGTGCAAAAGTGTAGAGAAGACAGAATGTTAGAGCTAGAAGAGTCTTTGAAGAACATCTCTGACTTTCTCTCTTTTGAACAAATACTGATGTTGGGCTCCCTTCCTCCTGACAACCTGATGTTATTTGCCCCGGGATGGGGCGCAGCCATTGATACTTTTTAAAAGCTCACCTAGTGGTTTTAATGTTCAGACAGGGCTGAGAAGCGTTTAGCAAGTCCGAGGTCATACTCTTAGTGGTAGAGGCAGGTCCAGAACTCCCAGCTTCTGCTCTCCTCACTGTGGACTCACCTCAGGTTCTGGTTTAGAAGACGTTTTTCTGAACAATCCTTTCTGTGATTTTACCTTTTTTCATAAAAGCAAGGTATTAAAGAAACACACCTTTCAAGCACTTCTGTTAGTTTGCTTCTATTTAATTAAGGTTTCATTCCATTTAATCCTATCTTAACCTCATGCTTTTTTTCTTACAATGATGTGTTGGTTGAACAACTTTTTTCTCAATGCCTTCTTTTCTCACTGACTTCAAAGCCACCTTTAAATGTAATTTTGATGCTGAGTTCCTCTTGACAATGTCATCCTTGATCAAATACTTAGTTCTTCATTGTTTGTTCTCTTCAGTCTGTATTAGATTCTTCACAGCCGTGCCTGTGTGTTGATGTGATTGCAAAGCACAGTGTATTCCCATGAAGTATTAGAACAGAGTAAGATCAAGTGCCTTTTTTTCCTTTTTAATTTGTGTGCACAGTTGTTCTCTGCTATTTCAGGGTCGTTCAGAGTTCTATACTAAAATGTAATTGGCATTATGTTACCTTTTTTCATTACCTGTTTCCATTAAGTTGCTTGAAGTTTCTTAAATATTGATGTCCTTAAGTACAGTAATGGTTGGTTAAAGTTAATTATGGAATTTGACATGTATTAGCTTCCCTCTTATTAATTGCACTAGAATAATAGAAGGAAATCTCAGCTTAA